TGCGTGGACTCGTCGCACCGCGCGACTGTAGGAACGACAGCCAGCGGCAGGAGCCACAGGAACGTAAACAGTGGACACTGTTGCAGACAAGAAAAGCTGCAGGTGTTCTAGCACTTCATAGTGCCCAGGAAATGTAGGAAGGCACTATGACGGGTTCATTTGGGCACTATTTCGAGCATTAATTCTGGTACTCGGCTCGGACGTGATGCTTGGCGCCACCTCCTCCTCCCCCCCTTCCCCCCCTTCGCCCCTCTCCCCCTGTACCCTTCAGCTCCCCGGACCCACAGTTTCCTCGCTTCTGTTGGCGCCTGAAAACTAGAAAACGTCTAAGTGTTGGAAGTGTGAAAGATGGTTGAGAAGCTTTTACGAGCACCAATGGAAAGACTGAAAGAGCAGACTGCCCAAAAAACTCACCGTAGCACCTGTTTTGGAGACCGAAGTTTGCAGCGATTTCGGTTGCATCGAAGGCGGCTCTTAAGTGCATCAGCGCATGATTTGACAAATCAGACGTTTGACCAATTTCTCATCAGAGAAGATTGATAAGTTCGGATCGATGGAACCTTCTGCACAGAGCTTTTTCTTTTTTTTCATGCTGATTTGATTCAAGCCAAAGAAAGCAATCAAGTCAGCGATTTGCAAAAGGCAAAAGACAGTTCCACTTGGCCACGGCGCTGCATGGGATTGACTCTTGTTTCGAACACTGGTTGGGCCTTTTTTTTGGCCGAACTTCCAGTCCAGTACATGTCCACGTAAGTACCAAGTGCACTGTCTTGCGATTCCATGAAAGATTTTCCAAATGGATTTTAACATAAATGCATAAATGCCGCCATTCTACTGGCGGAGCAAGAGGATGGTGGTTGGAAGAGTTTGACTTGCACGCCTGTGCGATATTGTGATGCCTTCAAACTCTGGATTTATCGGTCTTTAAATGGGTTATTTGTGCAATAGTTTCCCATGGTTCATTGGCTACTTTGCAAGCATAACACAACGTATGCAGCCACAAGGTCAAGTGGTGAGATTTCGAAGCTTCCACTCCAACTCTGGTGATTGACACACTCTCAGTCTGGACAGTCTTTGCTTTTGCGTCATGTCACATGTCCACGTTGAGCGCTGAGTTGCATTGTCTTGCATTGTATGAAAGATATTTTCGGAATGGATTTTAACATATATGCATTTTTTTTATGTCGATTTTCACTTTTGGGACAATACCGCCATTTTACTAGGCGGAGCAAGGGGATGGTGGTCGGAAGGGTTTGACTTGCACGCACAGTTTACAACAACAACAGCAGAAGTTCGACCAAGACAATTCAAACATTCAGTTTCATCCAAAAGTGCATGTCAATGGCAAGACGACATGGGGTTGGATTAGAGATGTCACAATTCATTAAAACCAATTTTGTTGGCTCATGTTCGTATTGTGCCAGAGTTGCAACACAGCGCATTTCGAGTTCCTTTGCTAGCGCTATAAAATCATTTAAGATAAGATGCATTTGCATTGTGGCTCTTGCCGGATAGCTTGCTGGCAGTTGAACAACACTGGCAATTGGCTTCTCGAGATGCTGTGATTGGGAAACGAATGGCAACGGTTGCAGAGCCGGTTGCAATACTTTCAGCTTGGTGTTGCAGAGTCGGGCTCTTGGGTTTTGCGCGGTGCCTTTTCAATATTCATGTCCGAATGCACTGATGGACGTGGACTTTGCAATGTAGAGCTGCGGTTGTGCTGCAATAGACAGTTTCAAACAGCGGTTGTCCATGACGTATTCCAAAGGAGTTGCCATGGCCACAAGCCAAGTAGCCAATCAGAGGAGTAAAGGGGGATAGTTCAAGATGACCTTGCGACGCCATGAAAGCTAGACAATGTCTACTGTGTGGCATCGCGCCTTTGTACTTGTCTGGTTGACCGGCCGTGTTGCGGGTGAGATCGCATTAGGCGCCCTTGCAGGTTGGACGGCTACTGGTTCGGAGGAGCTGGTGGCCACCATTGCTGCCGTTCTGGACTACCGGAAAAATTGGGATGCCCCTTTAGCAGCGAGGTTGGGTCCGCCTGTAATCGACATTCCAGGTGGTGTCCATGAAAATGCAAGCACCGTCAGCTTGCGTATCGGTACAACCCACCTGCAGCCCGATGTTGGCTTGGCTACAGCTTTGGCTTTAATGTTGGGTTTGGATGGAGCACAGCCTGTGGTGGGGTTGATTGGTGCACGGGCATCTGTTGTCAGCGCTCCGATTGCCACGTTGGCAGCTGTTCGGAAGGTTCCACAAATATCTTTCGGTTCAACTAGCCCTGCTCTTTCCAACAAGGCCGCATATCCATACTTCATGCGAACAGCACCACCAGACACTCTCCAGGCCTTCGCTCTATGGGAGTGGATCATGCAGTCTGACATTCCTTTAGTAACTTGCTTATATTCCACAGAAGACTTCGGGCATGGGCTCGTGCAGGAAATCCAGAAGAGAGCACAACAAGAGGGCCAACCGGACAGGGTGAAGTCGCAAGCATTGCAGTACATGCCTCAGGTGTTTGACGTGGACGAGGTACGGAAAACTCTCGCATCACTGCATCAATTAGGATCCCAATTCGTAATCCTTGCTGTGGAGCCTCGAATGGCTTCTCAAATACTGCCTGTTCTGAAAGACGAGGGCATGTTGGGTGGAAACTGGCAGTTCGTTGGCACGGATCTGTATGATGTTGCTGAAAATGCTCTTCCGGTGGGCTTCATGACTTTCTTACCATCTGGCAGAGGATCCCGCTTTTCAGATTTCCTGCAGCTTTGGTCAAGGATCGATGTGGCTGACATTTTGAGTAGAGATTCCATCCAAGCATACAGTCTGGACAAACTGGCAGAGCCTTTGGATCACGCGGCAGTTGCGAGCGTCATTGGCGACACTAGCAAGACAACTACCTGGGCTGCATTATGCTTTGATGCCGTCTATACATTTCTTGTGGCCATCAACCAGCTTCTGCAGCAGGGATTGCCCGAGACTTCGATTCGAGGCGAGGTGCTTCTTGAAGCACTTCGCAAGACACGGTTTTCGGGTGTTTCTGGTGAGGTCAGCTTCGATGGGAACGGTGACCGGCTCGGATTATACAATCTGCTAAACGTGCAGGTTGTGGGTCTTCAGCAGCAGACCCAATCTTTCGTCGCAGCAGTATTTTCTGCATCCACTGGAAATTTTACCTTCGAGCGACAGCTGGTTTGGATGGATGGATCCCGTGGGTTTCACGCTCCAGCACGATTGTCTTTGTGTGAACCTGGCTTTTACCAAGACGGGTTGTCCAGACAATGCAAAGCATGTCCCAAAGGTGCCATGTGCACTGGAGGCAATGCTTCGTTTGTCATGTGTTCTCCTGGGACCTTTGCAGACGGCTCGGGGATGTCGTCGTGTATGCCATGTGCGGAAGGCCATTTCGCTAGTGACCCTGGCGCCTTTGAGTGCAGTCCATGCATTCCTGGATTTGTGGCCCCACGGATGGGCATGGAGGTGTGTGACAGGTGCCATCCAGGAAGTCATATGCCTTTCGCGCGAGGCTCTACCTGCTTCCCCTGCGGGGGCAACCAGATCACAAGAGAGAGCGGAGCGATTTTCAAGTCGGAGTGCATATGTGGCGAAGGTACCTTTCTCTGCAATCAGCGCTGTGAGCCCTGTCCAGCAGGCCTGTATTGCCCCGAGGGTCTCGGCCCTCCACTGCAGCAGGCTGGCTTCTGGGCAGATGTGAATCTTTTCAATCATTCTCCCACATGCGACGCGTCCGTTTTGCGCTGCCGCAGCCATTACGAGTGCCCTCTGGGCAAACTGAGCACCTGTGCAGACGGAAGAGAAGGCCCAGCGTGCAACAACTGCAAACCCAACCATTTTCCAGTGAGTGATGGTGCAGAGACTGGAGTGTGCCAACCCTGTGAAAGCACAGATTTCTTACCGGGGCTCGCCTTCTTCACTCTGCTTCCCTGTGGTTTGTTCGTCGTTACAGTGTTGAAAATGGAGCCAAGTCAAGTCAGTGCCTCGCATGCAAAGGCCGCCCAGTGCATGAAAGTTGTTTGTTCTTCATGTGTTCTGCCTTTAAGATGAGGCTTCAACTTGCTGACTGCGGCTTCGGTGGCAAGTCAGATGATGGTCGCAGCTCAGACCCTTGGTTCCATGCGGCAGCTGTCTTTGGCCTGGCAGCATCCTGTGAAGAGACTTCTTGAGTTCACAAACCTTCTCGCCCTGGACTTGGACTTCGTCCGCATCACTTGCATATACGGGACAGACCGCCCGGCAGTCAAGTTTTTCAGTCGATTGACTTTTTGCCCAGCTGCCTGCGCCTTGATTCTGGTCACCTGGCTAGTTGCGAGGCTCTGCTTCCGCCCGAAGCCCATCGACACCACTCTGAACCAGTGCGGACTGTTCCTTTTTGCTTTTTTCCTTCCTGTAACGCTGACAACCTTGAGCCCTTTTCAGTGCACCCCGAATCCGAACGGAACTGCCTCACCTTTATCAGATCCGGGTATTGTTTGCTACGAATCAGATGAGCATGCCTTTCTGGTCGCGCTGGCAATGGTGGGACTTGTGACTCAGCCTTTGCCAATCCTCGTGGGAGCTGCCTATATCACGTTCATGTACCCATCGCGGGTTGCCAGCGGCAGGGGCCTTCGCATGATGAATCGCTACCGGTTCCTGTTCCATCGATTTAAGCCGGAGCAGTACTACTACGGCCTTTTCGTCTTGTGCCGCAATGGTGTGGTCGCACTGTTGCCCATTGTGACTGTCGACATCCCTGAGTTGCAGGTCCCTGGGATGGCTGTCATACTGCTGGCTAGCCTTCTGTTGCAAGTCCGGACGTATCCCTGGCGAACGGAACAGGCAAATCACGTGGATCTCCTTCTCACGAGCCTCTTGCTCATGGTGCTCGTCGGCGCAGCCCCCTTGCTCAACCACGACCAGGAGCGAACCTACTCGGTCTTGGGCTGGCTACTGTGCATTCCCGTTCTTGGGCTCGCGGTCGTCGGTGGCCTGGCTTTGCTTCGAACCCTTCTGGGCCATCTCAACAAAAAGCGCCTCTTCGGCATTTTCCTTTGCCATCACAAAGGCGGTGCTGGCAGCCTCTGTCGACTTATTAAGATCCTTGTGGCCAGGCACAGTCAGGCACGCGTCTTCCTCGACTGCGATCAACTTGAAAATTTGGACCTGCTGTTTGACATCGTTCGCACGTCGACTCGCAGTGTGGTCGTAGTGTTGACGCCGGAGGTCCTTAAGCGAGCTCCTTGATCTACAACGTAATAGGAAGAGGAGGGGTTTGAACATGGTGGCCTAAAGATGACTGATTGAAGGAATTTGCACTTGGGGTAGCCCTCAATCACCTGGCACTGCATCAGTGTGTGACCCCAAGACATCAAGCAGCCAAGCACATGGTGTGGACAAGCGACCGTTCAAGCCCGGAGAGGGCATGGTCAACATAACGAAACCTTTGAAAGCTGTCATAGAATGAGCCGGCCAAGGTTTGGTGCGCCGGCGAGATAACAACAGCATGGAAGAATAACATCACGACTGTGCCGCTCCTTTGCGATGGATTCCGACAGATGTCAGCAGAAGACCACAAGCGGATCGGAAACTACTGGACTCCACAGCAGAAGCAAATGCTCAGCAGCCACGGCATGGAGATGCAGGTGCGGGACGGTCCGTTCATCATGAGAACTCCTTGACCAGCATCTGTATGTGTGTGCGAGTGAGAGTGTGTGTGTGTGTGTCAATACAAGGAAACGATCGGGTCAGCATGATTCTCAGTCTGTGAGGATGTCTGGCACGCGTACCAGTGGCTACAGTCAGATCTGGTGCCACTGCACATGCCGCGGTTTGGTCCGGCCGAGACCTCGGCCGTGCAGACTCTGTTGTTGTTTCTCCATGCCTTTGCCACAGATGCTATAGCAAGAGTGCGGCTCTTCACACAGCATAGTATGCTCTGAGAAAGTAGCATTTCAATGGCCTTGTCTGCTCATGCTCAGGTATCGGGACGTGAAGATATCGTCCGTGGCATGCTGGACCGATGTGGAATGCTGTCTCGTGGAATCAGGGGGACAGTGCTATCAAAAGGACTCTCGTTCACTTCACTGTTACCTTCAAGGGCACGGATACTGATCATGAGTTCAGTGGCAGATGCTGAATCTCTGTCAGCCTGTGAGGTTTTCATGTAGCTTGACTGATACAGCTGTTGACGCTTTCGTTTGTTGTTTTCCAAGATCGCGAAGTCTTTTGTGAGTCAAGCCCAGGCTCGTGCTCCAGGCACATCTACATGTGGAGTGTGCTGTTGTACTCAACAGGAAGCAGATGATCAGGTGGAAGCCCTTTGCGTACTACCTGGTGGTATTGCTCGTGCGTGGCATATTCAACAATCATCGCTTTGGCCAGCTCCTGTTGACAGGGTTATCCGCGCCAGGGCGGAGCTTGGAGTTGCTGACCATCGTTGCCGACCCGCACTTTGAGTTCCCAAGTTTTGATGCCGATAGCCAAATGCACGATGCAGACGATGCAAATGCGATCATGGAGGAGAATGATCCATTAATCGAGGTCGCTCTGTCAGTTTTGGCTTTATCTTTGAGATGCCTGACCCATCGCCATCGCCTTCTCTTGAATCAGTTAAAGTGCTGTTGACGTTCTTGGTGTCACAGAAAACTCATCCCAGGCTTACCGGAGCGTCGTCAGCGTACTGGCAATGCCTTTCTCGCCGCTGGGGTCGGAAGGCCTGCAGCAGAAGCAGGTTGCAGAAATCGCTGGCCGGATGCACCGCTACAAGGAGATTTGAAAGGTTTGATCAGAGGATTCGCCTTCTCTTGCTGCATTCTGCAGCGACGAGTTTGAGGCTCCTCCCCGGAAACATTGCCCAGGCTCCTTCAGTACTCGACTCTGCCAGACTTGAAGTGCGCAGTGTGACTAGCTACAAGGCTTAGAGCACCACAACATGTTGACCGAAATTGCGCGGCAGTCAATAACTGACGCACTCGTGAATTACCTGGGTTTTCGACTGACGAAGAGCGCAAGGATCCTGCCAAAGCAGCGTGGCGTGACGACGCGGATGACCGCGGCTTGGAAATGGACTTGGACTTTGAGGACCGGCACTCGCAGGTGTTGTTTCTGAGTAGACCGGATTGTGGAGCGCCGCAATTCTAGCCACTGCCTCATGGTGGACATGCACAGAAAGTTCCGTTGAGTGGCAACAGTGTCCTCTAGTTTTTCTCCGCACATCGCCGACCGAAGGGAATAGATTCAAGAACGAAGACAAAATCTACTTTGATGACTGTTCCTGCCGATGCCGCTCCGGCTGCTGCCACTGCTGCTCCTGGTTCTTGCATGTCAGGAGCTTGCCTGCCAGCAGCAGAGCACGATGCACAGTCTGTCCGAACTTCCTATGGAGCCTCTGGCATTCCAGGCACAGAGTCCTTTCAGGAAGCTGACTGATACGGTAGGGAAACGGTGTTGGTATCCCAGCAGCAGCTGCGCCGAAACTTGGAGAGCGTTTTGGTCCGATTTCACGACCTACATGTTTGGCCAAGGACATACAAAGATATTACTCTTACATGGATGTTCGGTCCGATGATCTTTTAACCCAGCCTGTGAAAGCTGGAAACATCAAAATGATGATTTCTGGATTTCTGGAGCTGTCTATTTCATCTGACGATATAGATCTGCGTCTAGATAACTAGAAGATGTAGTAGGATAATGAATATAAGGCCACAGATGAATACAGACCTGTATTTAAGGCAATTCGAAAGGCATATGTCAGTAACATCGTTTAGAAGGGCAGAGAAACAAGCTTGCACCAACCATATAGCCAAAGGGAATTGGGAGGTTCAAGCTTCGAAAGTATTTGAAGTATTGGTTGCCTAAATCCTCCAAGCTTGTCCAAGCCTTCCAAAAGCTTTGACATGATCCGAAAGGTTACTCTGATAGTTTAGAAGCGGAGTTCGACAATTTTGATGGGTGCTTCGCGAATTGACAGAGGCAGAAAATCAGAGCACGACCAATACAAAACTGGATTAAGATACTTTAGACAGCTACGTAAGATGTGTTTGTCTAGACTGGAAAAGTTCCAATCCCTCGGTTTCAAGCCGGATCACCGAACATTGAAGATTGACGATATCAGAGAAAGTTTTGCGGCAACCTTCGATTTCGAAGTGGGTTGCTTAATTGAACCGGCTTGAGTTCCCGGCCGCGTCACCAAAGATTGGAGATTGAAGATTTCAGAGAAAGCTTTACGGAATGTTTGATTTCGGGGTGGATGGCTTCTGAAATGGCTTAAAACAGAAGCCGGATCACTGAAGATTGAAGATTCTTGGGAAGCTTTGGTAGAATCTTGGATTTCGGTGTGGATGGTTTAAAACAGCTTGAAGCGGCTTGGAACTCAAGCCGGTTCAAGGTCAGGTTGGGTTTGAGGGGGGGGCGGCTTGACATGGTTTGAACCAGCTTCAGTTTCAAGCCAGCACATCATGATTTGACAAAGGGAAAGGATCCACAGCAAAAAGAAATGAAACAGCAACATCAAAGGGGATTCGTATTGACAACGATCGGAGGGGATGTGCAGCAGAAGAGGTAGATAATTGAGGGATACCATACATATATATATACACATACATACACATGCATATGTAAACGAAGGTGATCTCGAGTCTGGATAGGCGACGTGCCGACTTATTCCAAGAGATTCAAGTAAGAGGTGTGAGCATGAAGTCTGGAGAGAGATTTCGATCTCATGTTTAGTCTGATTGGGTGATTTCTCAGCGCGCCCGTCTTTGCATTGCGGCTGACATGTGCCATGTGTCCTCCACAAGTTTTCTTGTCCATACTATTTCCGCAAGAAACGTTGTTGAGTTTTCATAGATACCGCTAGGCTGTTGTGAAGACGCGACTGTGTGGTCTCATGCTCGGGACGAATCGTTCTGTTTACCTTGTGAGCCTCCATAGAGCTGACCGTTGGCAACGTTGCTTGACACCGGGCTTAACTCGCCTTTGCAGGCAGCCAAACTGCAGCCGGACGACGGCACTGCGTCCAAGTTCTCGATGTGACTGTCTTGCGCTAGGTTCCAGAGAGCTCAGACAGCTTTTCGAATTGTGCAATGAAACACTTCTTCAGTATTGCACAGGATGCCGAAGGTGTGGTCATTGGTTTCGCATGATGTATTCCAGGGGCTGCAGATACAGCCGCATGTATCCAAGTTCTTGGCACAGCCAATTGGATCCAAGTGGGTCTTTCTTCCATTGAGCGTGCGATTGGCCGTCAATTGGCTTCAGGAAAATGAAGCCGACCCATCCCCAAGGACAATGAGAGGGTTTCTATGTACGTTAATGTGAAGCTAGTATCGCTCGTCCATGGGGCCCTCCCGATGGTAGTTGTTACAACGTGGCTTCAAAGACCAGCTAATTTGCTGGTTTTGGACAGGCTAGTTGCCAAGCAAAGGTGCCGCAAAAAGTGACGGGACGTAGCGATAGACTGTGGAATCAGGCGCTGAACGACCGAACCTTTGGTGGTATGTAGAACACGAGATGTTCTGCCAGAGCGTAGGCATCGAGATGTCGTGATGTAGCGCTGAATCTCCATGCTGACCTTGCCGTTGCGCTCTGGAACAAGTGAACACTCGCCGGCAATGCAGCGGACGATGGCTTGTGCTCAAACCGAGCAGGTGGGGACCTGGCTTTATCGAGTCAATAAGCACATAATGCGCAGTCACGCAGATCTCTTTCAGGACTGATGGTCGGTCCATGGCACCGGAGGCCGCCATGAAAAAAAGCCACTTTCAGGCGACCTTTTCTATGATCCGCCGGCTGGCAGGAAAGCGTGCCATGTGAGGATTTCACCACATGCGGGGCTGCACAGCACTCAGCTGTGTTGACACTGGAGTGGTGTAAAGTAGTTAGAAAGCACTGATGCCTTCGAGGCCCAGTTCCAAAACAAGAGCTTCCCGAAGAATGTCAAGCAACAGGTCGCAAGCTTTGCTCGCAGCAGCCCTGGACGGGCAGAAAATTGCTCTCCCGTCGTGTAGGACTCGTACTTCATCGTGGAGGACATGGTCAACACCTTCGGTGTGCGCTTGGGAGGCCAGGACCGGGTGGCACTCTACGGCCGGACTCTGAGCCTTACACCTGTGAGATTTTTGGCTTTTGGCTAGCGGCTAGTGGCATCCCGAGGTGTGGCGGATGGGCACGGCGAGTGCGGGGAGATTTGCGCAGCTTTCGTGCGTTGGAGTCTCAGCCATGCAAAGAAGAAGCGGATCGGGAAAGGCCGTGACAGCTTCGAGGCCGGCACCTGCCAACTCAGCTTGCGAGGTCTCACCACTTTGCAGAAGGTGGAAGGGTTCTGCAACTTCTTTCTCGATTTTTTCCTGCATGCGGCATCTGTGCTTGCCGACAGTGTCACCCAACACCTGAGGATCTGATGTGGCTGTCGTAATCCTGGAATCACATACACACACACACACATATATATATATATACATACATACATACATGATGTTCACGCAGGCCAGCTGGAATCAGCGCTGGTGGAAGCTTTCGTCCAGACCGACCTGCTGCAAAAGTCTGCAGGCCAATGCTTCCTGAAATTCGGTGCGAAGGCAACCAATAGCGGCATGACAAGCGATGGCAGTTGAGGCCTTCCTCTCTGGGCCTCTGGTGCCTGTGTCATCGCGGCCGCGGCCGGAATCGCAGCACAGCATGTTATGCTAGGGTTTCTGCAATGTTTCATCTTGTAACACAATGTTGGACAGCCCCGTTGCTCAACTGCATGCAGGTGTCACCAACCAGCATCGTGGTGGCAAACTGTGGTGACTGCAGATGTGCCCCTCGGCCCGAGCTGCGTAAAACTTCGCCGACATCTTCGGTCTGGTCCCGTGAGAATCGTGAGAGCTTCAACCGGGAGCTTGAGGTGCTGGCGGAACAGGGAACCGCTCGTGATCTCTCCTCCGACCACAACGTCCAAAGTGCGACGCAGGAGGTGCAGAGCTGAAACTGTCAGGGCGGTCTTGCAGAGCCGGAGCGCTGTGTTATGCCCTGTCTGCAATATGTGGGGTTTCAGAGACAAGATCGACGGAACAGGATGCTCTGTAGTTCTGCAAGCATCGATGCATCGTCCAACCTACACATGCCTCAGGCTGATGCAGTGTCGAAAGTCCGAAACAACACGGAAGCTTGTTTGAGACTCTCCCATGACCGGAGGAGCTCCGGAGGGTGCTTGCGGCAGGTGGCCGGATCCTTTGGCAAGTGTGATGTCAAGTGCAAAGGCTTCAGGGTCTTGGGATCGTGCGTGGAAGCTACTTCACACTTTTGATTCAGTACGCGGAGTGAGACTAGCCGGCCTCTTGCCGGCAAATATAGCATCTGTTGCAACATTCTCTCCACAGCCGGCAGCGCAGTCGAGTGATGTGCGTCAAGCTATTTTCACGAGCTTGTGTCGAATTGTGTGAGGGACGGAACGAGAGTGTGGTGGGGCCCGTGTGGGGAGTTTTTGAGTCAAGGCAGCCTCACTCCGGATAAGCGCGTCACGACCGGAGGCTGCGGCAGAAGGGGTTCAAAGGCTGAAACACGGGCTTCCCATGACTTGTTGAGGTGGTTTGGGACATAGAAATGCAGCCTAATTTCTAATTTCTATCATGTTCAAGGGCTTTTGCAGCGTCGTGGTGTTTGAGTCATGCATCTCTGTCTGTGTATCTACCAATCCATGCATCCATCTGTCTGTGTGTCTGTCTGTCTGTCTGTCTGGCTATCTATCTAGCTAATCTATCTATCTATCCACTTTCCTGCCTACCTACCTACCTACCTACCTACCTACCTACCTGCCTACCTGCCTACCTACCGAACTACCCTATCCGTCTGTCTATCTATCTATCTATCTGTTTATCTGCCTACTGGATCTATTTATCCATCGATCTATCTATTATCTACCTATCTATCTATCTATTTATCCATCCATCTATCTGTCTGTCTATCTTCATGCAGTGCCGTGTACATATACGTATATATACAAGTAACAGAACACAGCGAAACACCCATCCATATACATAGACGCTGCGCCCCAGGGACCTGCGGTCTTGCAACTTTGACTTTCATGTGCTACCGATTCCTTGCGGTGACCTACCCGTGTTGACACACTCGTACTCAAGTGTTTGAGTGCTTGAGTCCTTAATTTTCATTGCCTGGACGTAGCAATGCAAGCAAACTGCAAACCTCTTGGAGGAAGCCAGACATACATGTCATATGTATGTATGTATGTATGTATGTATGTATGTATGTATGTATGTAGTGAAACACACGTGTGTGTGC